TTAAGATCCAACTGAACCATTCCAATAACTGGACCAGACTTGAACGCTGCGAACTTTTTTTTGCATTAAATGTCATCACGGAAAGACAGATTCATACAAAAGAACGAGAAATGAGGTTAAAACACAGTTTGATTAAAGAAATGTTTAACTTCTCCGAACCAGGCTTCTTGAACGTCCAGAAGATCCCCGTTCAAGAATGCTCTAAGCAAGACTGGAAGACGCTCATCTGCTTTATATCTAAATGCATCTGTCACATATCTCGCAATGGTTAAGCTATCTCAACGTTTAACAAATGGCTTAAGAATTCTTTCGATTTTTCAGCTCATGAACGCAAGGCAGGTAAGTGCAAGGCAATGCGGGGAAGCGCAAGGCATAGCTGCACAAGGAGGGGTAGGGCAGCGCAAGATAAGTCAAAGTAGCTGAGCGAGCCAGTGCAGAGCTGGATGGATGGTTTGACGGCTAGATGGATGAATGGCTAGGTAGATGGATGGCTAGATGGATGGATGGCTAGATAGATGGATGGATATATGGCTAGATAGATGGATGGTTATATGTCTAGATGGATGAATGGCTAGGTAGATGGATGGCTAGATGGATGGATGGCTAGATAGATGGATGGATATATGGCTAGATAGGTGGATGCATATATGGCTAGATGGATGAATGGCTAGGTAGATGGATGAATGGCTAGGTAGGTGGATGGATGGATGGCTAGATGGATGAATGGCTAGGTAGGTGGATGCATATATGGCTAGATGGATGAATGGCTAGGTAGATGGATGGATGGATGGCTAGATAGATGAATGGATATATGGCTAGATAGATGGATGGTTATATGGCTAGATGGATGAATGGCTAGGTAGATGGATGGCTAGATAGATGGATGGATATATGGCTAGATAGGTGGATGCATATATGGCTAGATGGATGAATGGCTAGGTAGGTGGATGGCTAGATGGATGGATGGCTAGATCTATGGATGGCTATATGGCTAGATGGTTGAATCGCTAGGTAGATGGATGGATGGCTGGCTAGATGGATGGATGGCTAGATAGATTATAGATAGATGGCTAGATAGATGATAGATGGATGGCTAGATAGATGATAGATGGATGGCTAGATAGATGATAGATGGATGGCTAGATAGATGGATGGCTTGATGGATAGATGTATAATGGATGGATGAACGGATAGATGGGTGGATTAAAGGATAGATGGATGGATGGATGTTTGGTTGGGTTGAATAAATGACTTGACGGATCGATGGCTGTTGAGATTAGGAGATGGATGAGAAATGATTAGATGGATGGTAAGCTGGTTGAATTGCTAGTTGGTTGGATGGATAGTTGCATAGAAGATCGATAGAAGACCGCCTTGCCTAGAATACCACCTGGCGAAGCTGTTCATTACCCTGCTTTGCTCCGCCCTGTATCTATTCGCGTACCCTGCCTTGTCCTGGCATGCCCTGCCTCGCTTTGCGCAGCTTTGCATTGTCTTGCGCTGCTCTGCACCTCCTTGCTCTTACCTGCCATGCCATTGGCCTTGCTTTCATGAGCTGAAAAATCGAAAGGCTTCCTAAGTCCTTTCTTAAACGTTGAGATAGCTTAATCATTTCGAGATACGTGACATGCATTTAGATAAATAGAAAACGAATGTCTTCCAAGCTTGCATAAAGAGTTTTTTGAGGGGGATTTTCTGGCCGTTCAAGAAGTGTGGTTGGGAGAAGTTAAGCTTAGCATTCAACAAATTATGTTTAAACTGCATTTTTCGTTCTTTTGTATGGAATCACCGTCTTTCCGCGTTGACATTTATTGCAGAAATAGTCCGCAGCGTTCAAATCTTATCTGGTGTAGCTTTGAAGTTCGGTTAAAAGCTTTTAAGTTATACCAGAAACTGCAGGAGAAAAATTATGTACGCGCGTTTCATCTGGATTGTAAAACTGCATTTGTGAATTGGTTTTTAAGAACTTTGTTGCTTCATCAATGTTCATGATGATCAATTCTACGCGGTTTCTGAATGCGATTCGAACTCCACAGTTTTCAAAAGGAGCTACGGCAAATTTTTGAGCTGTTGAAACCGTATCATGAGCCGTATTGAAAAAACTATGAATTCGGGAAGCTGCAATTTGCAACCAAGCTGGAACACAGGAAAAGTTAGCTCTAAAAATAAAGTTAATTAAGCTGAACTGTAAATTCGGATGTCTTTGGCCTCTGTGCGAAAATCGATTGAAAATAGGCCAGAGTTTGCCGCCAAATAAGGTTTTAATGCTTAAATTCGCAAAAATGCCACCAAAAGATCCTTTAAGTTTCGTATTTCGTTAGAGAAAGTGTTCTTCCTGATATGAATTACGCTACGTTTGCTTGCGTAAATAAGTATAGATCAAAAAAGCCTCGGAGAATTTGTGTGAGAGGTTAAATGACTACTGGTGGCCATTGGCCGTCTTACTTTAATATCAAAACGCAAATTTCAAACATAAACTGAAATTGCCGGATCCATTGCATTCATTTTTGATATCAGAGAACGTAGTTTGCCTTTTATGAGGCCATTTGAAATTGAAATTAATTTAAAGAGGAATCAGAAGTCAAGATGCGAAAACAAATGCTTTGAGCCTGAAATTCAAAAATTTGGTTCCCTTTCCCTTCATTCACAAAACGAAAGAAAATAAAAAAATCATTACGACGTACATGAGTCTTAACTACGTTCATCGTTTCTGTAAAATATCCTTATAATTATTTTTTTACTTAAAATCGCTTGTTTTAGTGTACAGGCCTGGTTATCTTGAGTGCGCTTTGAGTTGTCTGAAGTTGTTTCGGGTTAAAATGTCAAAAAAAATAAACGCATTAGTTATAGCAATAACTTCCCTCAATTTGGTTTAAAATAGTTTCTGAGCCCTTGAAAAACATTTTTTCGCCCTCAATTATCTTGATGAAGCAATTTTCAATTGCCATGATTTTTCAAAAAAAATGATTGGTGCAATAATTTTTTAATTTACGATCAAGGTACCAGCAATTCTGGTCAATTTTGTCATAAGCCACAGGTATACAATAACGCACAAATTTTTTATCGCTCTGTTCTAAATACATAAAGAAAATTGAAAGGCATATAGGAATCAAAAGTCACGCTGCAAAAACAAATGCTTTGAGCCTGAAATTCAAAAATTTGGATCCCTTTCCCTTCATTCACAAAACGAAAAAAAAAACAACGAAAATAAAAAAATCATTACGACGTACATGAGTCTTAACTACGTTCATCGTTTCTGTAAAATATCCTTATAATTATTTTTTAGTTAAAATCGCTTGTTTTAGTGTACAGGCCTGATTATTTTGAGTGCGCTTTGAGTTGTCTGAAAATGTTTCGGGTTAAAATGTCAAAAAAAATAGACGCATTAGTTATAGCAATAACTTCCCTCAATTTGGTTTAAAATAGTTTCTGAGCCCTTGAAAAACAATTTTTCGCCCTCAATTATCTTGATGAAGCAATTTTCAATTGCCATGATTTTTCAAAAAAAATGATTGGTGCAATAATTTTTTAATTTACGATCAAGGTACCAGCAATTCTGGTCAATTTTGTCATAAGCCACAGGTATACAATAACGCACAAATTTTTTTATCGCTCTGTTCTAAATACGTAAAGAAAATTGAAAGGCATATTCAGCTAAGAAGGAACTCCCTTCTTTTGTATCTCAAGTACTCTTTAAAAAATAATTAAATTTCGAAAAAAAAATAATAATTGAAAACTGTTAATCGATTTTTAATATTTCAGAAGACGTAACCTTTAGTTTGAAATGTTAAAGTCATCATCTTTTAAAGAAACATTTGACTGATTGAACCGCTTCGGCCCACGCATTGCAAAAGTAGAAAACGCACATAAATTATCCTGAATCGGCAATTTTCAAAACAATTAGCTTAACGAAATCTTTTTGATGGACAATTATTTTTTTATTAAGTCATTCAGAAAAGATAAAACAATCAAAATTTCTTCAGGTGAAACAATGACTTGCATCTAGCCGGGGAAAATGGGAACAATTAGATATGAAATGAAAGTGAAACGTTTTGAAGCGGGGATTAGTTCGCCCTCTATCTACACTACCCGTTGGGAAACCGGATACTTTGCTTGAATTAATTATCCCAAATTGTCAACTTTCAAAGCTCCGTAGCATTACAAAATTTGACGCTCATGGCATCAAGAACTGTTCGATAAAGCATCAAAGCTCGTCTGGAGCGAAAACTACACTGGCACAATAGTTCCAACAGCAGGAATCATATACCTGTTTTGTTGTGAAGATAAAGTTTTGAATCGTCCAGAAGGCAAAATTTTGAGCAATTTTTCGGGCCCATCTTCGATAATTGTTTTTTTTTCCTGGGACCCTAATGTCATGCTTTTGCCCCGGTTGCAGCTAAGATACGTTTAAAATTTTTCAAAGATTTATTGCTACTCGAGCCGATTGATTAATGGGGAAGTGCTTCCTAGTGTTAACTCATTTAAGTGATCAGTTAGTGTGTGGGCAAATTTTGTCCAGTGGCGTCTTTCATTTCGCTAAAAACATATAAAGATTTTATATCACCCAATGCAGAAGAAATGAAAGCTAAGCTACATGAATATTTTAACTGAGTTACTCTGAAGCATAAATAATTGACTGTTTACTAATTCAAAAGTTGTTCTATGCTGGGCTCTTCTTTTCTCCTTGGTTTTCCACGTTCCGAAAGTAATCGCAGTTCATTACTGGCCAATCTTTTTTCGTCGTATTTTTTTTTTCATGAAATTGTGACGCTCGTATGAAATTCCTGTATACTGATGTGCCTGTCGTTGTCAATTTAAAAGCTACTTCATAAATATTTCACGGTCATGGATTAGTTCTGCTAATTTCAGTCACAAACATGCGGGTTACACTCATGACAAAGCGGTCATTGATAGCTATCTAAAAATAATTTTTGTAGTCGACTACAGTTAATTTGAAGAAAAAAACCGTAATTGAATTAATGATTAATTGTTTTGTTTAGAGCATCCGGTTGGAAGACGCGTTCGATCGACCACTGTCAGTTATGACACTTCTTATCACAGACAAAACAGACTACCCCTACTTGTGTTACGACGTTGAAGAAAAGTAATGACTTGAATCTTCATTTTAGCGTAACATAATTTCCTATGCAGAATGTTTTTGTTTGGGTTTTTGCCAAAGTTGCTCGTAATTAAACTACCATTAAATCTGGGCTCAACATAGGTTTCTATGCAAGATGTTTTATTTGGGTTTTGGCCAAAGTTGTTCGTAATTAAACTACCATTACATCGGGGAAGTGTTAGTTTGTGAAATTACAAATTCAGATTGTTTTCACTCAATGGACAACGACAGGTGCCAATTTAAGCTTCGGCGGACAGTCATAATCAGTTATAATCTTTAACCGTCGGTGATAAGCTCAGCGCTCACATCAACTCTATACTCTTAAATTTTCAAAATAATATCTGACTAGGGGTAACTATACGGTGGTCATTTAGGGGAAGGGAGGAAAATTGTACGGTCGATCCGAGCTCTCATTGGTTTTGGCTGCCTTTTGCATCAAATAATTTGACTTTTTTCTGTTCGTTTTTAATGAGACGGTAGAGACCCCAGGCTAAGGATATGCAATTCAATTATTGATTCCGAATGAATTTTAATTTCATGCAGTTCGTTGAATTGACTGCGGTTTTTTCTTAAAATGTTTGTTCAAATAAATACTTGAGGAGGTTAATGCAATAAGGTAAAGAGTCGACTTTTCCTCTTCATCATTACCATTTTTTATGTGCCTGAAAAATAAACCAAAATTGGTGAGCATAGTATCAATTTTAGCTCGAATATTCCCAAGCCGAATAAGAAACGTCTATTGATTGATCAAGTTTGCTCTGGTTGGGTTAAAAATATCGTCAAATGTCAATCCATCAAATTTCCTGAAATTGAATTAGTTTTTAAGTGAAATGCGTTTGGAATAATTGAATCAGCTTACGATCAGCAAAGGTATTGCAATAGTCTACTCGGTTTGGAAATGTGAAGGCGATAGCGTATTTGTTAAAAAGAGTCAAAAGGAATTAACCTCCTGATTTTTGAAAAAACAGCCTCAGACAAAAATTTTGATAAAAAATCTATACCACTTAAAAGAAGTGTAGATCCGCATTTGGGCACTAGGGGTGAATTTGAGGGTGCGTACGCGGCCAAGCCATACCCTCCCCCTTTTCGGCCGATCAACCCTAAATTTTTTCAAAAGGTGCGTTTGACGCCAATATATACTAATTTCGAAGGGTAGCACACTCCAAAATATTCTGTCAAAAAAGGGTTTTTATAGTGTTCTGGGGGTGCTCAGAAAATCAGTTTGGTCGATCTAAAAGGAATTTTTGACGAAATTCTATGAATCTTTGTCCCGCAATCGAGAAAATTCGAGAGCCGCCCCTGGTCTATTGGCTAAGTTTGAAAGTGTGTTTCAGCCCCGATAATCCGAACCATTATGACGTGAAAGTGCTGAATTTGGACAACATTACGCAGACCTTAGGATCCACGCATAGGCTTGAAATCAATGCTAGAAGTATGTATTTGAAGTATAATTAATGGGAGTAACCATGGAGGAAGTTACGCATCATCCGAAAAAAAAAATTGTTCCGATCACTTGAAAAATGGTGAGGAACTTTGTATTCGGGTGTGTTTTAATTTTTTTCTTTTCTTTCCACGCAAAATCAAGTACAACAAAAAATTATTGGAATGGGTCGAGTGATACATCATATCAGTGCCCTTCAGTCGTAATTCGAACGATATTTAAAAGTATTGAAAATTTTGTCACAGTGTTGGCAAAAGCGGTTTGAAATTTTTGGTCTAATTTCAAGCTAATAAGGTGACCGTGTAGGCTTACAGTAGCTTAATCAAGCTTAATTTAAGCAGTGAAAGTTTAGTTGTACTCAAGTAAAGGAGTAAAGGTAGTTTTTGAAGTTCAAAAAATTCCCGCAAAAAATGTTTGATATTTTTTAATTTCTTCTTCGTTTTTCTAGTTATTTTTTCTAAAAACTGTTTTCCAATCGCCCTTTTTTACTATGATTCTCAAATATGCCTAAGTTCTTTTTTTCGATCGGATTTTTTTTTATCACAACATGCAGAAAAAAACGACACCAATTTAAAAATCTTTTTTAAATATCTTTTGAGGTCGGAAAATTTTCGAAAAGTTGTCCCAGTGTCGCGAGAAACCGGTCTGAAGTTTTTGAGTTTTCGTATAATTTCGAGCCATTAAAGCAAGCGAGCAGGCTTATTATAGAAGGATACGCCATGAAACTTAAGAAAAATTATTTTTTGATGTTCTTAGCGCCATTTTTGGAATAAGAAAGAAATTCAAAACGATTTCTGCTCAAAAGTATGAAAAATTGAAGGTTCTTTCTTTTTAGTTATTTTCTACAAAAACGGTTGCCCAATTTGCTTATTTACAGTGACTCTTGAATATACCTAAATTTCAGGTTTTCTTCAGATCTTTTTATCACATTCATTTGTTTTTTTGAAAGAGTATGGTTGGAACATTCTTAAACAGCAACCGGCTAAACAGCATCCTTAAACAGCATCTTTGAGCAGCAACGGGCTAGCCTTGTTTTTTTGTTCGTTTTCAGGGGGAACGTGGAAGGTTAAAATAAAAGTCGGAGGTTGATATCGAGTTTTCATTAAGTTAGGTGTTCAAATGATGCAAAGCTAACTAAAGCATGTAAAAAAAATGTTTTTTTTTCTGTCTTGCTGTGATCTCTAATCGAGATTATTTCGAGACAAGAAAATCAAATTGATCATTTCAGGACAAGTAGATTTTTAACGTCAAGACAAGTGAACTCCAGAAAAAATTGATAGTTTTTGTATTTTTTTCCTGAATCTTTTTGGAATATCTCACTAAAGTGATATACAGTGCTGATTTAAATATCCGGTCAAAGCGAACAAAATTTGATGCATCGAATGCTTTTTTCAAATTGGGTTAATATAAGACAAAAAGTAAAGAGAACAAAAGTTGCTTATAGTTTCATTAGAATTATTATGGTGCAATTTATTTTTTCGAAATTCGCAAACAAAATTTTACCTCAAAAATGAGTAATTTTGGCTTTTTTAAAATAATCAAGAAATACGTTGAAACTACCACACTAATTGATGAGAACTTTATATCAAAAGAAGCCTTTTACACAGCGCAACGAAGTTCTAGAACGGTAAAATCTCCGAACAGATTGACCTCATAGTAAAATTGACCTTTTTTGCTATCAAGGAAAAATATATTCAATTATACAGATTTTATCCTGCTGAAAATTTCTTGGGCTGCGTAAGAGGCTTCTTTTGATATAACTTTCTAATCAATTAATGTAGTTTCAGCGTAATTCTTGATTAACTAAAAAAACAAAAGGACCCATTTTTGAGGGAAATTTGTAGTTGCGAGTTTCGAAAAATGAATTAAACCATGTTAATTTTGGTGAAGTTCTAAGCAAATATTGTTCTCTTCAATTTTTGTCTAATCTTACCCCAATTTGAGAAAATTGAGTTTAAATTTTCCAATGTTGTTCGTTTTGTCCTGTTAATGTAAATTAAGCTTTATACTGTTTGTCCACGTATATTGATCTTGTTGGGTTGCATACCAGAAAGTAATTGGACGTGTGTTGTAGTATCTGATTTTGCGTGAAAAAAATATCGAGGTCGGATGGGAACAAAAACACCACGGCTTGATTTCCAAGTTTCCTCTCCTGAATTTAAACTATACCTTAGTATTCATAAAAGTATCTAAAACATGTTATTTAAAATGATAGGCAAATTAGGTTATAAATTTTAGGGACAGTGGAGTGAATTCTTATACACTAATTGAACTAAAATATAATTTAAAGAATGTTCTCGTCACTGTTTTTCATGCCATCAAATCGTTACGGTATGACTTTATTTTTTAGGACCTGCTACCAAGTGTGTGGTGAAAGTGCGACAGCTAGAAAAGGACACTTTACTTATCTGTTTTCCTGGTTAGTCGAATTCCTTTGAAGTACTTATTCATCTTCTTCAAGTTTCCAACTTCAAAGACTCACTTGATATTGGGTAGGAAAATACAATACGTCATGATTGCGTAGTTCAATTTGATGTGCCATCTGGGAATCGCTTTTCGTCATGGGTTTCAAATCTCGCACTAGACAGTGACTGATGCTAATAAGGTCGTGTAAAAAAATGCGTCAGTGCTATGTGACATGGAATTGTTTCCTGGGCGAAAATGTATTTTTTAACCCTGTGATCTTAAAAGCGGTCGCCAGAATTCGTCCGCTTTGGGATTTTGAAAGGAATTACTTCATTTTTTATTAGGTTTCATGCTCAAAACGAGTAAAAGACAGCGGAAATACGAATCAGCTATTTAGGTTGTATTTTTTTAGGTTAAAATCTTAAAATTCGCTTATGCAGTTTTGCTCGTTAAAGATTTGCTCATGCAAGTTTATAAAAGTTAAAGAGCCGTGGACAGTAAAAGAGCCAAATTTCTTACTTAAAACGTTTTTTAAAATTAAAATTTTTCGGGACCTCGTGTGTCTCGATTTCTTAACGCTTTCGCACAGTATATTAGCTGTTTCTACAGAATAAAGTTAGCATCGTCTCACTTAGTCAATAATTATGAAAGCAGAGCTTTAAAGAGACTCAGCGATAACCATAGAAAATGGTAGAAAACATACATTTTTAATTTGGCTTTCGTTTTTTTTTTGGAAGTTTCGAAATAATTATTTATTGGTCAATTTTAGTATCAAGTTATTTTCATTTAATATCAAAAAAGATAAGAATTTGAGAATCTACTATAAAGTGATTTACTTTGTTCTAAAATTGTTCCAAGCTATATTTTGTGTATAAAGAATATGCATGCTTTTGGAAGTCCTAATTTTGATACTAATCAATTGCTAAAAATGTGCAAAAGTTATAAACAAGACACAATTGATGTTATACTGAGTAAATTTTAGACTACGTGCGAATCACCAATCTGGAAGGGAAGCTGAAGTCTACGAGGAAGAGGGCCGTCAAGCTTAACTTCGAGGGCATTCGCATTAAAGACATAGGTAGGTATGCTACCACCCCGGTTGTCACATAATAATGACAGCAGCTTAAGAGTACATCAAAAAGAGGCAAAGACGTATTCAGATCTTTCAAAATGTTGCATGAGTCAATGATCGAGGTATACGTGTTAGTGTGATTTCTGGAAACACTAGTTGATATTTTATGGTTGATAATTACATCTTTTCCGATCAGAGATATTGATTAAAACGTGTTCTGTATAAAATCACTAGTTATTAATTTGGAAATTAATTTTCTTATTAACTTTTGAGCTCTTGGGCAACTTAACTTAGCAAAGACCTAATTCGCCTCTGTATATGTGTTCCCACCTTAAATGTAAATAATGTGACGCAGTACTAACCTATAATTTGGAATAATGGCAACTTAAAACCACTACAGTTCGGCGCTTTTTACACATGCGCGGCGTAGTGTGGTAGTACTAAATTACAATGTGTTTTGACATCTGACTTGTCTGGTTCATTTGTAGCTAGTATTCGCGGGTTGTTTAGCGTCAGTGGCTGAGAGGTTAGTGCGCGAGATTCTTAATCTCTAGGTCGCAATTTCTATTCGGTCGCCTGGCAGAATTTTTTAAAACTAAATCCTGGCCTATTTCTACTTTTTTAGTTTCACTCGCTAGTGTTTGCGAAGCGCAGCTTCGCATCTGTGTTACGCATGCGAGTATTATGCTCCTTATAAACAGGTGTTATCAAATTTTTTTTAAATAATTTTATCATAACAATAAGTTGTCTAACAGAATCACTGTTTCTTTTTTACTCAAGCGGAGCGTAGTGTCCTAATACGAAGTCCAACCCAAGTCGCAAATAATGGTGCACCTTTTGGTGGCACCATTATTTTCACAAAACTGGTTAAAAGGCCGATGTAATGACCGTCTACTCTCCTGTGCGCCGTTTATTTTGCTAGTCTCTTCTTACCGAATCACACGGCACTCGAAGCATGCAGTCGGTGAAATTTTTGACGCATTTTTTTATGTTTCTTTTCTCGAAAATTACCCCTTCAAAGCTGAAATCATTCAAAACTTCAAAATAAATAAAATAGTAAAATTTTTTATTGAAGTCTCACCTGTATAAGCTTCTACGCCTTGTTTCAGTAGAAATGATAATGGCCTTAGAGTGAAACCGAGGAACAAGTGTAAGGACAACGCTAGCTAGCATAAACGAATTTTCTTAGATTTGACAAGCAATCAGCAATGGAATAAAGACGTAAAATATTTGAAAATTCGACAAATTTTTGAATATATGGCCAAAGAAAATGTGAAAATTTTGAGGTTTTTCTCGTTTTTTGGAAACTTTGAGGTTGTTCCTAAGAATTAAACTGCTGAGTTTCGGAGTTCCATTAAAGAAACATGAAGTTTATGAAATTTTGCTGATTAAGCGACAATGCACCATTTTTTTAGAAAAGCAATTTGGTACCAAAATTTTTTTTCCGAATTATTGACAGTTAGGCCGATTCTACCAATTCTGACAGGCAATCTGCTATGGACCTGGTAAACATCTAATAAATAACATTTTGACCAATTTAGTGGACTTCTCTCAATTTATCCAAAATGCCAGTTTTGAGGTTAAGAAATCAATCAAAACGAGATGTTTTACTGATTTCCGTCGCTAAAACTTTTCTCAGTACTTTTTGACATTTTGAGAACTACGCATAACGTTTCGCATCAGTTCATTTAAATTATCAAATAGGTACTGGAAGAAAAAAGACTGGGCTCCTAGTCTGTTTTTTTTGTGCCATAAAATCATATCTTGTTTATTTTGGTAATTAATTTACCTATTGATCATATTTTCTCAAATTGGGTTAATTTTATCGAAAAAATGCCAACCATACATTGTTCTAGTAATTTTAAGATCCTTGAGGACATCTGTTTTTTCTTTAAAATTCAAAGTTTTTTTCTGTATAATTGCGGTCATTGGCTCTTTCCCAGCTGTCTGTTGGCTACGTTTTTCTTTTTCTCTTTTGTTTCTTCAGCTTTATTGTTTTTTGGTTTGCCTCATTTTGGCTTAGGGCCTCACATTGACGTCTTAACAATTTGTTGAAAAAATGTCACTCACCTTCTTAAATGGAGCTCATACCGACTTCTAGTAGCCATTCATTTGCTCATCTTTTTTCTAATTGTTGACCCTAGAACTTAATACTCATATGATTTGCCAGCACTTAGGCTCATCCTACTGTCCCGTCATCAGGGCAATTGTTGAGGGATTGTATTGCTGAATAAAGCTATATTGCGCTTAGTTTATTCTTCAGGATTCTGCGAGGAGTCATTTTTTCAAAAGGCTCTCGAGTTTTTTTTAAATAATTTTGGTGATTGCAAGAAAATAAATAAGGTTTTGTCCTTATATGTTGTCATAATGTTTCACGATTTATGGGATAGTTTATGTTTCTTGTGAATGGGCGAACACTTAAAACTTAATTATTTGAATTGACTATTTGGAGGCTAGGCTGTTAGTTACCTTCCACTTTCTGGGTTCTTAGTCATTGGTATACGCATCTTAGTTAGATCAGTTTGGGGCTTTAAAAATTGCGGTCGAAAGGCTTTTAAAAAAAGCTTTTTTACCTTTAAAACTTCTTTCTGCTAACGAGAAAGATTATTTTCCAAAAGTTTTCCTTCTGCTAACGAGACAGATTATTTTCGAAAAATTTCGGGGCTACCACAAATCATAATTTTTTCGTGATCTTGGTTGTTTTGCTATCGGAAAAAAAATGAAATTTTGAAAGCTTCTCGGCGTTTCAAAACTACGGGCTGCTGGCCAGTTTATACTAATGTATTTAAGGGCTTGCAGTGTCTCTGTTTCGCTTAATTCTTTTAAGTCTTTCGAGACCTTTCTTGTATCGGATTGTCCGGCTGAAATATAATAAAATTGCTGACCACGCGTTTCAAACAGGTCATTTTTTCTGTTCCCACTGATGCTCGTTTCTAATGTTTGATATCTTGCGCAGAATCAGGTATCTGTAAATTTGTTTTTGAGAGTAATGAACGTAGTGAAGACTCTTATATAGGTCTTGCTGTTTTTATTTGTTCCCTAATAACTACAGATGTGCATTCATACATGTTAATGCATTTATGAATGCACTGATGTTTATATGCACTTTTTGAGTTCAATTGAAGCTCATCTGCCGAAAGTGACGTAAATAGCACTCTCCAAATACAAACGTGGAAATGGCGCAAATAAACGTGAACGATTTCTAGTTTCGAAAGTGGAATTTAATTTTTAGATATCGAGCGGAATTTAAAAAACTTTAACAATTGATCCAATTTTCTCTAGTTGGATTCATGTTTTCAAAAATTGCCTACAATAATTTGTTCTAGAAATTAAAAGAGCTTTAAGGGTATCTATTTTTTTCTTTGAAATTCGAAAGTTGAGATTTTTTCAACGAAGTCAGTGTTTTTTTTATGTTTAATTGCGTTCATTGCTCTTTTGCAATCTTCGATTGGCTATGTTCTTTGGCTTTAATCAACACTCGTGACCAAACGTAGTTAAAAATGAGTTTTTTTATGATACTCTGAAATGATTAGATGACTCAATCATAATTTTTATCTCAAAATGGACAATACATGTGATGTAGTAGTGGTTTGTAATGACGCTGAAATGAACATATTTTGGATATAATTTCATGCCGCTTGCTATAGATTAAGATATGTAGTCTCAATATTGTGTTTTGCCTTGAAAGTTTGTTTTCATGGTAATGTTTTCATACTATTCAATTCAAAAAAACCAATTGCCAAGATTTTAATGAACTCTTTTGTTAACTATGGAGCCTCTAGTTTAGGTTTTTCCGGCTCAAGTTGCCTTTGAATACTCAGAGAAGACTAATTAGGTGGATTAGATGCCTGTACTATCCTGAACTTTGACTGGTTTCTATTTTGAGGACTAAATTTGGTAGTCAGTGCAAAAGGAGTTCAATAGTCATGGAAAGGAACTGCCTAGCTGAATAACATGTCACATTATAGTTAGTTAAATTGTAAATTGTAGGAAATGGTGGAGATCTTTCACAAGTGAATTTAATAGTCCTGATCTATAAATTTATAGTGCGTTCGTGTTTTCAAATCAACCGTTAGCACTCTCCCCTCCCCCCGCCATATCGTACCCCCCATCTATCGTACCCCCCACATATCGTAGAATGTCCTACCCAAGCATGTATTAATTCTGAAATATAATTACGCATAAAATATGAATTTCAAACAAGCGCTCAGAATATACGACTCGAGAAAAATTTTTACGGAACAGCTATTTTATACTGTTTATAACCTAAAATATTAATAATAATAATAATAACAAAAGATTTAGGAAAATAATCCAAGGGTTCGCATAAAACCCAGTCATTGCGTTGTTCAAAGTTTAGTAATCATAATTTTGTATCGATTACCTTTTTTAATGAATAATAAGATCAATTTGTTTTGCCCTCAAAGTTAATTTCTAAAAAACCGGTATTTATCCCCCTAAATCAATTGGGGGGACGGTTGACCCGTTTTTTCGATGGCTCTTTGAAATCAAATATAAATGTTTATTTTTTTAGAACTAGTTTTGTGCTATCTTTGAGCCATTGATTGAAACAAAAAGACAAACTCTGCTAAGCTTTGAGGTTTTTTGCAACGTGCCCTCTTTTTTATCTTCAATTGCTAGTTGCTTTCGAGCTTCAAAATCTTTAAGATTATCAAAAATAGTTAAAGAGTTTGTAACTATTGCGATAATATCAGTTTGATATGAAAATAGTTTGTTTCAAAGGTTACGATCGAACGTGAACTGTTTGCAACTGGGTCTGCTCTGACGTATATTCTAAGGTCGATTGAAGTGTCTTATCATTTTAATGTCATGATTAGCGTATTTCAATTGAATTAAGATGCCCAGACAAAAAGTGTTCTTTGCCATTTTTCTTTGCCTTCAGCAGTTTAATGAAATAATACTTATACGGTCAGTAATCTGTAAAGGCGTTTCGTATTCAAAGCCTGAATCCTATCAGGAATACAGTCTGGCGTCTTGGCTCATAAAAGGTTGGGGACGGGTTTGTCTGTGTTATTCTTTGAACATGAAAAATTACGGTTCCTGCTAGTAAAAAACGTCACAACTTATCATTTTTTTGGCTAAATCAATTTGTTTTGAAAGGTGAAGATCAGACACGAACTGTTTTGAACTGCTCTGAACGTTACAACTTCTATTTATGCTGTAGATTGTTTCAATGCGATTATTTCCCACTGATTTAAGATGGAAAATGATATGCCTTTTTATGAAAAATGATATGTAGTAATTTTGTATGTGTCATGGCATGAGTTCGTATGTGATATAATTTATGTGTTTTACATTTTTAGTTTGCCCTAGAAGTTTGGACGAGTTTGTTAGAGTATGGGTGAAAACAAGTTTTTATTGTAATGAATTAACTGAAAATGGTGCTATGTTGTACGCTAGCGCAAGTATCCATTCTCATTAATTTGAGTCATCGACAATTTTCAGTAATTTTTGTTATTTTCAGTTGTGCTCGACAGCTCTGTCCTCGCATTTCACGATCACGGAATGATTGGCAAAAGCTTCGAGACGTCACAGGTAACGTGTAATTTTACTACTCGTGCGATTGCTTCTTTACACTTGCGAAGCAATGTGTTATAGTACGAACTTTATTTTTTTCCAACCTAAGTCGCAAATATTGTTGCCATTTAAAGCAACAATATTTGCTACATCGAATTGGCAACAAAATGATTGGAAATTTGTTGCACTTTTACTGCTAATTGATAACATGTGCTTTGACATTCGAATAGTGATAAGTTTCCACAGTTGATGCATTTTTAATTCAGCAAGTGAACCGAAAAAAGTTATTTGTTTCAAACAACAACAATAATAAAATATCGGTTTCAGAAATTTTTTGACTCAAAATATCTCACAGTTTTTTGAAATGCTTAATTTATGCATAATGTGGCTTTATGATTTGCGATTTTTTACATGCAAATTTGTATCTTTTTGGATTTGGTGCTACTTTTGCTGCATCGAATTGGCAATTTATTAGCATATGTAGATGCGTTATTGGTGGCTAATTTTTAGGGATTTTAAGGATCCGTGGCTGAATGGTTAGTGCGTGAGACTCAAATTTGCGAGGTCGCAGATTTTTGCTAATTGGAGTTTTTGCAAAGTGGAGGTTTATTTCTACTTTTTCTTATGTCACTTGATAGAGCTGCGTTTTGGTCGTGTTCTCGCAAGTCTTTGCAAAGCACAGCTTCGCCTCTGTGTTTAAATTATACGATTAGCACGATTTGTCAAATCGGAACAGTCAAACAGTACTGCAACAAAGGCAACGATGAATTAATTGTCTTGACATGTTTTGAAGTGAGAACAAATTTAAGACTTATTCTGCTTAAGTTTTCAGACGTAACATGTGTGACTGAATGGCTCAAAGTTTAGCGTCCTGATAGAGTCTGTAATTTATTGCGGAAGTTTTTGCTGCTTTTTAAACAGATAGTTTTTGAATTATAGTGTGTCTGTCTGTTTGTTGTCGGTCTATATACGAGAGCGCGCGTTTATGAAATAAAACTTGTATCAATTACACAATTTGTTAAGAGTGATTACCGCTGTAAATACTCTCATGTAGGTTATGGTTATTTTGTTTTGTTTCAGGAAAAAGTCCTCAAATTTGTTCAGGCTTAAATTTTTTTTGCGGACTTTTGATTTCTTTTTCAGTCCATTTCATTGCTTTTGTTAAAAGGAAGGCAAGTTCAACAATTGAACAGCAAGTGTGTAAAGGTCATGAAAAACGGGATTGACATGTAGTTTCAAAATGCTATTTAATTTAATTTATAGATTTCCCAGCGGCATGAAATAATTACTTATTGATCGATTTTCTTACTAGTATTATTTATCAAAAAAGTGTCAAGCATAAATTGCTCTTGAAATTCAAAGAAATTTGAGGCCATATATTTTTTCTTTGAAATTCGAAATTTGAAGTTGATGTTTTTTATTTATTAACGTTTTTCTTATGTGCCAATGAACCTAGGGATTGTTGGTTTTTATAGGTCATGTTGGTTTTTTATTCAAGAAGGAGGTGTGTTTTTTTTTGTTGTGTAAGAGAGCGAAGTGGTTTTTTTACTTATATAGGTTATGATGCTTTTTTAGGAAAAAGTAATGAAATTTGTTCACGCTCAAATTTGATTTTTAGCGGTTTGACTTTATTTCTTTCACGAACAGTAAAAATAAAAAGGTTTGATATTAGAATGAAATCTAGTTTCAAAAACGGTCTTTCGTTTTCTGACTTTCCGGCTGAGTAAAAAATTATTATGATCTATTTTTTTTATTATGATCTATTTATGAACATAGAAATTGTCCAGTTGGGAAGTTCTGAACGTTTTTGTTAACTTTTTAACTTTTCTCAAAAATTAGTCAGCGAAATCTGTGATAAAAAGCTTAGCTGAAACAAAAAAAGTTTTGTCAATTACTCTGCAAAAATGGTGTCGATTTTATTTTGATGAAAAAAGTTATCGCTCTAGAAAATAAACAGTTTTTGAAAAATTTGCCCGTTTTTTGGAAACTTATTGAGTTATCTCTTAAGCTATAGTACAAAAGCTAAGATTAATGGTTCAATCGAAAGCCCATGCGGTATGAACTTTCTCTTCCCAGAGGCTGCGCTCCAATTGTTGTAGAAAAGCATTGTTGGGAAACAATGTCTCGAAAACTTTGGAATTTACCTTTCGCATCAGTACATTTTTAAAATGTTATCAAACTGGTACCTCCATCTTTAACTCCCCTCAGTGTTTAATTTTTGTCAAATGGTAATGATGTAAATTCTAGGGCGCGTGACGTTGAATCTCGATGTCGATGGTTCGATTCCGTATCAGAATTTTAATTTAAATAATAATACCATCTTATATAATAGAAGTAGTTGCGAAAATTGTAACTTAACTATTTTCAATGTATTTTTTTTCTTAGCGCTTATCATTTTAAAATTCAATGTACATAGTGAAGACATTTATATAGCTCATGGTGTTTTTTAATTTAATTATTTGCGATTTGATTTTTTGCTATTTGACATCATTTCTTGTTGAAAGGTTGGCAAATTGCGCGCACTGTCCATGGCGGAAATGGCGCGGAAAACTGCGAGCGACTTCTAGTTTCAAAAACGGATTTAAGGGCATTTTTTCTTTAAAAATTGTACGTCAAGTTTTCAGAATTTATATGTCACGGTCTTTTTGCGGTTTCCTTGCGTTCATTGGCACTTTTACAATGTCTGTTGGCTATGTTTTGATTTAAGAGTTTATCATTTCACTGTCGATATCTTAGGAAACGATCAAGTTGAGCTCTCGAATAACAAACGCAGAAAGGCTTCTCCTTTTTTAGCGCTACTTATTAATTCCGGGTGATACAGTGCTGATTTAAATTATCCGGACAAAACGAACAAAACTTGAAATTTCAAACGCGTTTTTCTCAAATTGGGTTAAGATTAGACAAAAAGTGAACAGAACAAAAGTTGCTTAGAATTTCATCAGAATTAATATGGTGCAGTTTTTGCTTCGAAATTCTCAACCAAAATTTTACCCCAAAATTGGATAATTTTGGCTTTTTTCAATTAATCAAGAATTACGCTGAAACTACTTTGTTAATTGATAAGAATATTATATCATTAGAAGCCTCTTACGCAGCCCAACAAACTTTATGAAGCGTTAATTCTCCAAAAAATTGCGCAAATTTGTAAAATTTGTTTTTAAGCAAAGATTCTGGGTTTTATATAGTAAAAATCACATTTATTGATTATCAAGTGAAAATTTTTTCTCTTATACTGGTTTTTGGAGATATATCTTTTCTTAAAGTTTGTTGGGCTGCGTAAGAGGCTTCTAATGATATAATATTCTTATCAATTAACAAAGTAGTTTCAGCGTAATTCTTGATTAATTGAAAAAAGCCAAAATTATCCATTGTTGGGGTAAAATTTTGGTTGAGAATTTCGAAGCAAAAACTGCACCATATTAATTCTGATGAAATTCTAAGCAACTTTTGTTCTGTTCACTTTTTGTCTAATTTTAACCCAATTTGAGAAAAACGCGTTTGAAAATTCAAGTTTTGTTCGTTTTGTCCGGATAATTTAAATCAGCACTGTATATGGAGATAGATAAAAACTTTTATGCGCAATTACTAAGTTTCAAGAGAAAATAAGTTGATCTGATTAAATGTCATACTGGACATAATGTTTTTTTAATCCTTGAGTACATGAACAGAATGTTTACCAATCAGCCCTTGAATGCGTTTGTTTTGGTGAAAGAGTGTTTATCGAGTATATCTTAATCGCATTACTTGCTTTAAGTTTTCGATGATTGACTTGATCTTTCGCAAGTTTGCGGTGTTCGTAGCCATCGGGTTGGGGTTAGAGTAATTTGAGTGCTTATATACTGGTTTTTTTTTCAGACTACCCAGAATATTTGCGACTACAGTCAGACATATAGACTGCTCGACAGCTCCGGTCTGATAGTTGTCGAAAGTCTAACAGGAAATATTGGAGACCACGACCGAAAAAGACACATACACGTTGTGGCGGGGCATAAAAACTCCCTCTGACAAATAGAGGCAAAACTGAATTGTATTTTTTGACTCTGGCAGAAATCAAAGCTCATTCATTTTCGACTCATTTATCAACTTCAGTCACCTCCACGTCTTAATGCAACGCAAATTTTTTGAGCAAATTTATTTTCTATTCCAGAATTGAGTAAGTTTCTACCGCTAGTTTTCAAAGCAGACAGTTTATGCTATTATTATTCTGATGGAGCTTTTGGATGCTTTGAATTTAATTTAATTTTGAACTAAATCTTTTTGACAAAATGTTCAAATGACACCAGAGGAAGACGTTAATTCGGACTTTGCGAAGACGTGTGTCTTAAAAGAGGTTGTTGGGAGCTGAATGAAAATTGAACTCAACTAAACTGCACTTTAAGGCCAATTAAAACGTTTTTAGGTTGAATAATTGACGAAATAATCAATTTTTTTTCCCATTTTCACCCCTCTCGTTTTAAAAGGACGGAATAGCGGATCTCAATTCAATTTGGAACGCATTAATTTGCCACTTACGCGTGTTATAAGAACTCATTTTTTGCAGGTTAATTATCCCAAATTAGCAATTTTCAAACCATCGCGGGTAATATATTTTTTAAATTTGATCTTAGGACAACAGTATCTTTCAGATGTACGAAATCCGTCAAAAACGCTTAGTTAAGAACCCGGAAATTGGCTGAAAAAAAAACACTCTAAGCAAAAGTACTCCGCACTTTCTTCGATAGTCGGAACAATAACAATAATAGGCTTATTGCGCTGGCCTTAACACGAAAAAGCTTGGAATAAACTGCTTATGCAATGCGCTGTTACAATTTTGTCAATCATCCTCCTCTATTGGATTTTGTTAATTATCCCCCCCCCCCTTATTCATGTATTATTTGTGACAACCAGGCAACCATTTCTGTATAAATCATGCATTTCATAAATTTCAACATTTAATTGGGTTTGGGTGTCTGTTGTATAATTAAGTGATTGAAAGATACCTGAGTTCAGAAATTAAACTAAAATTATTCTCTAAACATTGCTTAAAATTTTTCAGAATGTGGCAATTAATAATGAGTTTCTCAAAATTGAAATATGCAACAGTTTCAATTTTCAGAGTCAGGTTCTAAAATGACACAGTTTGAATTTCCAGAGTCAGGTTCTAAAATGACCATAACTTTTTTCCCTTGCGATCGCAACTATATTGTAATCGGGTTCAATACTTTCTACCCGTTAATATATCGTAATCGGGTATAACTCTTTCTTCCCGTTACTATCTTTTTTACCGGGTACAATATTTTTCCTGTTAAGAAGGCCGCATCTCATCAAGCTTGGTGTCCAAACAGACCTCTTCAATTACAAACATATATGGAGATGTTCTTTTGAAAATGATTTTCCTTCGATACAAAATCGTGAAAATTTTGTTAAATGTTAGTGTTAAAACGAAGTAGTTTTCGCTTAAATAGGTGCTGATGATTACACAAGCAGATCTTACAGTGATAAATGAAGACTTTTTTTTTACCGAAACAGAGTCGCAGACTTTAATGCTACTTTTGTTTGATGGCAATATTAGTGCTATGGTCACAGCACTTAGCATTGGCAATTTAATAGCCTGTGCTTTGACATTAAATAACTAACAACTTAACACAGTTTAGTTCATCAATTGAGCCAAAAAAAGCTATTTACTCTATTAAACAAAACAAAAAAACTCGATACTAAAAAATTTCCAACTCCATTTATGTCGCAAAGTGTTGTAAATTCAAAATATATTCTCAAATGGGCGTTAAAATTTTTAAATTATTACATGCAGATTTTTTCTAGTTTTTTGACATGTCAATGGTAGTGTGTTTGTATTTTAGTTTATGTTTGGTAGCATTTTTGCGGCAGAGCATTGACAATTTATTGGCATCTGTAGCTGCTTAATTGGTAACTAATGTTTGAAATTTTTAAAAGGACCGAGGCTCTCAAAATTGGAGGCTCGACTGTAAAACATAAAGCAATTTAACTATTCCAGGCTTATTTTTATTTTTTATTAATTTCACTTTGAGAGATTTTTTTCATCGTTTGTTTAGACTTGTAGTTGCAAATTGCAGCTTCGCCACTGTGTTACCTTTTCTTTTTAGGGAAAAAATATAAATTATTCTAATACTTACACATGTGTTTTCAAAAAATATAGCGCATTTTAGAAAAAATGCCTTTTTTTAGACAACCAATCCAGAGTTCTAACCCTGAAGTTATTAGATATTCTGACAAGAGCGCATATAACCAGTGCTTGTGAAGCTATGACTTACTTGCAGGGCAAGTGCGATTTGAATCAACAATCGTTTGATTGTGGGCACCCCCGCCTTTTGAGCGCTACAATATCAGTATTTACGCTTGCGAGCAGCTAGTGTTTTAGTACGAGCCTTTTTTTCTAACCTAACTCGCATAGAAATGTGTTCATTAAAAGAGTGTTCACTTATGTGCCTTTTTGCTATAACCACGATCTGTAGCATTGAAAAGTTAATATCATCTGTTCTCGGCTTTATTTGAGGCTAATGTTTCTGATAATCTAAGCGTCCGTGGCTGCGTGATTAGTGCGTGAGACTTATAATTTTTAGGTTACAGTAGGTTTTAGGTTAAAGCCCGAGACGTCGGCGAACTATTACTAATTTGCAACTTACTTTTTTTCCCTGCCCCACCACACATAAGCATAGTTTTCATGATGTAACTAGTGGTTTCACGAGGTTGGGTATGACGACCAAATATGTTTGTCATGGCTTAATTAGTCCGTAAGCCAAAATTTATCCTAATCTGATAATGTGAACAGAAAAATTACTTCAAAAAATTTACAGGTGATGGAACGAAAAAGAGCCAATTTTAGTTTTTCTTAATCTTTTTTTTCTAGATCTTTAGAGCTGCTTCTTTTTGTGTTCCAGCTCGTGTTTGAGAAGCACAGTTTCGCCTCTGTGTTGAAATGTTGAGTTCAGTTTCACTTTATTTGATAAAAATTAGGTCAAACGTGCTCTACAATTACGAAAACGAAAATGCCGCGGAAAAAAGTGATCAAATTCTAGTTTCTTAAAAACACTTAAACTTTTACATTTCCCTGCGGAAAAAAATTGATCACTGATCCAGTTTTATTGAACTGGAATAATTTTGTCAAAACCTAAGCTGAAAATTATTGAAACATTTTCAATGAGTTTTTTTTCGGTTTCTTGTTCTTGTACACTTTCAAATACAGCTTGTTATAATTGTTTTCAATACTAGTACTTTGTGAACTCGCCCCATTTTCAGTCGGCTCGCTTGCAATGCTATGAAAAGTCATGCCAAACTTGACTTTGCCTCTGAGTTGATTATTGAGAAGCGACAGCTAGCTTTAGCACCGACGACTTCTCAATTCGACTGATAGCAGTTGATTTTGGAGATTGCACAACACTAAACGCGAATGCATCGTCGTCTAATTAAACTCTTAGTACCAATGCTGTATCGAAAGATTTTTTGAAGGACTGGCAGAGCAGCGCAATAAAAAAAACAAAAGCTGGTTTTCGTCCAGCTGCTGAGGCGTTTTCACACAAATTCGGCGCCAAAATTAGCTCTTATGGAATTTGCATTTAAGGCTCAAAATGTTAGAAACATCGCTTGTTTTAGTTGAGAAGTTTTTAAGTTGTATTGGCTTGAGCCAAAATGAAGAATTTTTGAAGAAGTTCTAAGAATCTCTGCGTTGTTCTCAAATTAGTTTGACATTGGACGAAAAACTATGACGAAAAAACTTGCTCAGAATTTTAGCAGAACTATAATGATGCAATTTTTTTTGCGGAACTCCGGCGTAAAAATTAACACCAATAAATTGATCCTGATTAGCTTTTTTCAGCCAATCAAAATTTCCGGTTCAATTCACCGCTTTAAATCAATGGTTCAATTGTAACAAAACTCTATCAAAGTGAGCCTCGCATGTAGCTCGACAACATTTAAAAGGGGTTTGGTTTTTCAAACATTTGAAAAAAAAAATTATTTGATAGGCAAAAAGTGTAATTTCAACTAAGAAAAACAAACACTAAATCTTTTTTAAAAACAACTTTTAAATGTTTTGCGCAAATTTTTAAAAGTTAAACTCTTGAATTGAGTTGCACAAAAAGCTTTTTGATATAGTTTTCCCAAATGTTTACACGGTAGTTTTTGCTGGTTTTTTAATGGATTAGAAAGGCTTGAAAAGAGTCATATTTTGGTAAAGTTTCGCAAAAAATTGCACTGATTCACAGTAAGTTTTGCTTTTGCACTTTTTTTCCTAACGTCGACCCAGGTTTTTTTTACAAAGAGTATTGTGCACTAACATCTATGCTATGTGAGGTTACAAATTCAGCAATTAATATTTTAAAATGGCTAGTTTGTCTTGAAAATTGCGTTGAAATTTTCGGTTGTCCCTTCGTTTATGCATACTTCAAACTCTGTTTCATTTAGCACATTTTATAGTGATTTCGTTATTCGTTTCAAGCTTAACTGTTCAGCGAAATCATCGTTCTTTTTTATGCCGACACTATGATTTATGAGGATATTGAAGAATTTGGGGCAATTTTTAATTAGTTATTAGTTGTTATCTGGGACAAGATGGAATAGGACAAGTTGTCTTGTTGGTCAAATTGGAGTAGGACAAGATGGGCTGGGACAAGTTGATCAAGTTGACCTGGGGCAAAATAACATGTAACCCTTTTTTCAGTTATACTCTTCTGCAAATTGTTTTAAGCCCACTTGTGATAAATGCAGCTGAATTTGAGCAAAATTTTGAAATTAGACTCCGTGAAATTGGAATTTGGTGAGATATATAATTTTGCGAAGGAAGAATTCAAAAAAGTTTCACCGTTATCATCTGTAGGATAAATTGCTTGCGTTGTAACTAAAATTTTCAGAAAGGACCTGGGAGTTATAGGTTTACTGCTTCTAAAATTATGAAATAGATCCATGGTTTCAATATTGAGAAAATTTACTTTTTAAATTTAAATCATCTGCTCCTGGTACCTCCACAATAGCCTCTGGAACCTACACAAGGGCCTCTATTGCCTCCAATATATGGGCTCTCTATAGCCACTTAACAGAGCCCATAGTTTGGAGGTGATAGAGGCCAATACTGCAGAAGATTTGCTCTTTCCTCCACAATACCCCTCCATAGTGTGTAGCCATTATGAGGGGTTTTGGAGTGAGGAATTACTCGAATTTTATCCTCTTCATGGTAACACAATAAAAATTTTGACTTCTTTGAGATTTGAACTCTTGAATTTTTTTTTAATAAGAGTGTTA